CTGCCACAACGCCCGGCTATTTTTTGGTTGCAGCCATCATTGTTATTTGGCAGGCCCAGGCTGGATTCGAATCCACCGCCTTAGGTGTATGTGGCTAGCACCTTAGCTGCTTGAGCCATAGCGCTGAGCCAGTTATGTCCATTTCTAAAAGGAGGTTCGCTGGTATTTTGTCCTCTTGCTGCCCTGGAATCGGTAACCTTGTCTTTGCAGGAAGAGGCACAATGTGGGACTTTAGGCAGGAATGAATTAGGTAGGAGGATGGCCTATTGAGTGTGTACCTAGGACAAACCTGACTAGCACCTGTTGGTCAGCACCTGGAGCTTGTCCTTAACCTCCTTCTGGTGGCCACTTAACATGGCAGCTTGGGGTCTTGGTTATGTGTCATTTTGTCTGGCAGAGAGCAGACTGGGCAGCAATGGCGCCCTGCGAGTGAACGAGCACCTCCAGGTGGAGGGGTATAGCAACGTCTATGCCATCGGCGACTGTGCTGACCTGAGGGAGCCCAAGATGGCCTATCATGCTGGCCTCCATGCCAACATTGCTGTGACCAACATTGTCAACTCCATGAAACAGCGGCCCCTCAAGGCCTACAAGCCAGGTAAGGGGAGTCCAGCTGCTTTGCAGTTTTAAGAGTTTGAGGTTAGACATTGAAGATTTTTGGACCATAAGGTAGTTGACCACTAGGAGAAACTCTCCATGCTGGTAATGAAAACACTCTTTAAAAATAAATCATGGGGCTGAGTGCGGTGGCTCATGCCTGTAATCCCAGCACTTTGGGAGGCCGAGGTGGCTGGATTGCCTCAGCTCTCTGGTTTGAGACCAGCCTGAGCCACAGCGAGACCCTGTCTCCAAAAAAATAGCTGGGCGTTGTGGCAGGCATCTGTAGTCCCAGCTACTGGGGAGGCTGAGGCAAGAGAATCGCTTGAGCCTAAGAGTATGAGATTGATGTTAGCTGTGACACCTGGGTACTCTATGGCGGCGGCGGGGGGAGGGGGCAACAAAGTGAGACTCTGTCACAAAAAACAAACAAAAAAAATCACGGCCTCACCCACATTCCTAAAAGTCTTACATGTTTCCCGGCCGTGGGGAAGGATTTCACTGTGGGAATCGAAGGCCCAGAGCGATTCTGGTTTTACATGTCTGCTCTACAGGTGGGCTGACATTCCTCCTATCCATGGGGAGAAATGATGGTGTGGGCCAGATCAGCGGCTTCTATGTGGGTCGGCTCATGGTCCGGCTGGCCAAGAGTCGGGACCTGTTCGTGTCCACAAGCTGGAAAACCATGAAGCAGTCTCCACCCTGACAAGAAGGCTGCCACAGCAGGTGAACAGACTGCTTGACAACATTTACCATCTGCGAGTGCTGAAGGGCAAGAGCAGTTTTTCTGGATTAGGATATTGATGATGTACTGACCGGAAACACAACTTGTATAAAATGGCGGGGATGGGAGATGGGAGATGGGCATTAAAAAAGAGACTCCCCGAGAGGATTCTTCCTGGGTTTCACGGTTTGCTTGCAGCTGTACTGACCAAATGGCTGATATGTGCCTAGTAAATGGTCTCAGGGAGGGCACAGCCAGCCTCTGTGTCCTGGCACCTCTTGGATGTGTATGTGCATACATGCACATGCGTGGGGGGAGCATAGGGTGTGGCATTCAGAGCTCTCAGCGCGCGGGGCTCTTGGTGGCTGGCATCTGTCTGTGAGGGCAGGAAGAGCCTGAACAGTGGGGCCAGAGGAAGGGAGCTGGGGTGGAGAAATGGCTGCACCCGAACCTCTCCAGCACGGTGGGGGGGGGGAGCCTGTGCATCTGGCAGCAACCAGGTCGTTAATTAGAGCCTTATTTTAAACTCCCTTAATTCGTGGTTAGCTGTCATGCTCCTCATGCTTCATGAACCTCTCTACATTTCCACTTTTAGGTCCTAACTGAATGCCATACATTACATTTAAGAAGACAGAGTTGGACAAAATTTCCCTCTTTGGTTAACCTACTCTAGCAAAGAGTGAGTTTTTACAAAGCTAGCAGGGTTCAGACTATAGCCTGGACTGCCAGCCACTGGAGGAATTTAAGGAAAGGTTGTAGGGAATGCAGTCCCCTGCGGGGTACCATCTGGTTACCTTTCAGGGTACAGAGGTAGTTCAGACCCTCAGCCTCACCCCAGTGTTATGTCCAGGTTATCCTTATGGGTGTAAATTTGCCAGGAACAAAACTCCAGCTGGTGCTGGGGGCAGGGAGAGGGCCATGGGGGATTTTGTGGTTTGTACTTCTGCTTTCCTGGCCAACCCCACGGTTATTTGTTTGGAGGCCCAGCCATGAGGCAATAATCTCTGTATATAAATGACTCCTCTGTTCAGGAGAGATCTTCTAACAGGGAGGAGCCTGTTTTGGACCAGCTAAGACAAACTACACGGCAGAAGTGGTTGATGAGGCAGCCGAATAAATGCAAGCCCTGACGTCCCTACCCTGCCCCTCTCTGCTCACTCCTTAGGCCAGCCTCAACGGGGTTCTCAACCCATCCTGTATTTGGGTTGTGGCCCTGGCCCAAGTGAGACCTATAACTCTCTCCCAAAGGATGGCCCTCAGGACCAGGGCCAGCAGACTCACCCTCCCTGGAAGCAGGACCCGCTGAGAGAAACACAGGTCTGATGTGTGACCTAGGGCCTCCTGTCAGTGACAGGTCTTATTCTATTTACTTATAACATTCTAGATGTACCCACCCATGGAGACAGAGTTTTCCAAACTGAGAAAAATGTTGTAATAAAAGAATATATTGTAAGAAAGATGCTGGATCTTTTATTTTTTCTTTTCATTTTCTTTTTCTTTAAAAAACAAAATGGAACCAAAAAATGCCCGAAGCAAAAACATTTTAGAAGTAGTTACAGATATTACAGGGCTGGGGGGTGGGCACTAAAACAAAAGAGAAAAGCACCAGTGAGATGTCTTCCCCGTTTTTTTCTCTCCGTCACGGAGTACAGACAACCAACAAAGCCCGAGTCACTTTTATGCTGTCTTCCCTTGTAAAAAGGAGGAACAGAAGACTTAAGAATTTTGAAAGGATTTTTTGTGTGAGTGCCTGTAAAAGTCAATGCTATAAATCTAAAACGAGGTCTGTTTTTTTTTTTTTTAAAGTTCTAAAACAACGGGAAGAAAACACAAGGAAAGAAAGCCCTCGCGGAGACCTGCTGAATTAGGGACTGAGGCTCTGGAAGAATATAAAACGCAGAGGGTTCCTCCCGTGAGCAGGACCTGCCCCACCACCTCTGCTGCCCACTGTCCCCTCCGCCCCCCTCCACTCCCCTGCCCTGCCGTCACCCTTCTTCTCTTCTTTTAAAAAATAAAATCCCACTCTTGTGACTCTGATCTTCCAATCCTCCTCCAATTCCTGTGGAAAGCACAGCGGCTACTTGGTGTCAAGCTTGGCCATCTCCTGGACATAGATGCCGATGCTCTCGCTGTCAAAGAGCAGGAAGTACACGTTCTTCAGCGAGGATGCGCTCGAGTCGTCGAAGTGGGCCGAGATTGCTTTGAGGGTCACCTGGGCCGCGGTCTGCTTGGGAAAGCAGTTTCTGTACCAAAGCAAGAAAAGAGCTGGCATCATTTCAGTCTCCAGAAGGTCATGTAGTGTCTTTGTTCTCACCACATGGGGCCTCACCCTAGTCAAAGGGACAACCTAGGCTGGGCGTGGTGGTTCACACCTGTAATCCTAGCACCCTAGGAGGCCGAGGAAGGAAGATCACTTCATCTAGGGAGTATGAGACCAGCCTGAGCAAGAGTGAGACCCCCGTCTCCACTAAAAATAGAAGGTGCCTGTAGTCTCAGCTATTTGGGAGGCTGAGGCAAGAGGATGGCTTGAATCTGGTAATTTGAGGTTGCTGTGAGCTGGGCTGATGCCATGGTACCCTAGCCTGGGCAACAGAATGAGACTCTGTCTTTAACAACAACAACAAAAAAGGAGGCCCAGCGCCCACTGCTTAGCACAGTGGTTATGGTGCCAGCCACATACACCAAAGGTGGTGGGTTCAAACCCGGCCCGGGCTAGCTAACAAACAATGACTACTGTAACAAAAATAGCAGGGTGTTATGGTGGGTGCCTGTAGTCCCAGCTACTTGGGAGGCTGAGGCAAGAGAATCACTTGAGCCCAAGAGTTTGAGGTTGCTGTGAGCTGTGACACCATG